CTGGCAGCTCTAGGGGACCCAACCACCTGCCATTTGTCTTTGGGACGTGTTCCAGGTAGTTAATGCAATATCCTTCCTGGCCTTAGAGCTGGGGTGTTTGACTCCTGCCCTGTGAAAGCCAGGCACTAGATCCTCTGTGCTCCCCCTTCTCCCCCTTGCCTGTTTGCTGCTCTTTATTTCTCCAGGGGCCGAGCTGGTTTCAGCCCGTTCGGGGAGTGTGCTGAGCTACAAGCGGGGTGCTGCAGAGCTGGGCTGGGCTTGGAGCAGCCCCCTGGGGACCCGTGGAAGGGATCCAGCTGTCTTCCTGGCCAAGAGGGCTCCACGGGGTCCCCTGGGCTTGCGAAGAGCTGGGGCAGCTGGATTTTAAAGGAGCCTCTCGTCCCCCAGAGGAATCCAGCTGGCATGTTGCTCCCCCCATCCTTTCCGAATCTTTCTATATAGTAGGGGAAATCCCACCGAATCTCAGGGCCCTAAGAGCAGATCAGTCCCTTCTGCCCACCCGTGGCTGTGTCTGTGCCTTTCCTTTGGCAACAGGGGAAACTGAGGCATGGCGTGGGGGCGTTTATGATGCATCACCCCACTGAGACTAAATGGAGATTCTCTTACTGCCCATTTGTTTTCCAGCTTTTGAAAATCTCAGCGGCTGCATCGTGTATGCAATGGGAGACGAGAGCATCTGTCGGTAGTAGCCCTGTGCACGCACATGTCCCTTTAAGACAGCAGATGGAAAAGAGCATTTTGCCAGTAAGGCCCTTAAGTCAAGGCAGGGTGTAATTGCTGGGGAATTTAAAGCCGCCCAGCGCCTGGGAGGAAGGAATCGGCAGGGACTTGGGGGTGAGGGAGGGAGGAGGAGATGGGTGGCAGGGAGAGGGTGTTAAGAAGATCAGAGAAAGGGAGAAACAGCTTGAAATAAGGGAGGGATGGGGAGGAAGAAGGGAAATTGCAAGAAAAATGTACAGACCATGTTTGGCCAGGGAGCGATGTTTGTATAAGATCATGTTCTAAAAATACAGCCCGTTCCCACCGTCGTCGAAGGAGAGGAGCCCTCTGCCCCAGCTTCCTCCTCCATATATCACACAGGGCCCCTTGCCGAGAGCTGGGGCTGGGGAGCGAGGCAGCCGTGCCTTGGCCATGACTAAGGGGTTTGCTGGGAAATTGCAGGGCCTCGGACTCGACTTTATTTGCTATTTTTTTTTTTTTTAAATGCTGTGTCTGGTCTCCTTTTTTGGAGCTGGAAAGTCAGTGTTTGAGGGGGAGGGGGGCCTTGGCCAGCCCGACTCCATCACTGCATCCCCACGCTGCTGCGAGCTGGGGCTATGGGCTGGGGCGGCTGGCGCCTCCTCGTCCTTGGGTGAACGAGACGCTGAGAGCTGACTGCCGGCCAGCTCTCTGTGTGAGGCAAGGATACCCTTGGCTGTGGGTTTACACCTCTGCTTGGGGCCAGAAGCATCCCCATGGCTGATTTGAGCAGCTTAACAGGGTGCCTCTGTCACCTTAGCTCAACTTGGGGTGAGAGGCAGATCTGCAGAAATGTATGTCCCAGGAGCCCAAACCCTGTTTGTTGGGATACAGGAGCAGCGTCCGGTTGCCCTGCATGCCAAAACGCCTTGTACTATTGTGATGCCATCCCTTAAAAATGTGATGGTTTCCAGGAGAGCAGCCTTGGAGCTTTGCAGCTCCGAGAGCCTCTGGTGTCACCTTCATGCCATGCCCAAGAGCATGGGCTACACCAAGCCTCAGCTTTGCCAGTGACTGAGCTGGAGAAGCAGTGGGTTTCTGTGTTTGCCAGGGTGCTGGTGAGAAGCAATCCTTTACTATCAGTCCCCAGGAGAGATGAGAGGGGAAAGCTAGGGAATTTGGACGGCAGCTTAGCCCAGGCTGGGAATAACCCGGCTTCACCAGCACCCCATTGCATTCCTAGTGACCCGCTATGCAATGATGTCACACTACTAAGAGCGGCCAAGGCCAGAGCGTGGCTGGGCTGTGGAGATGACTCCTTCCTCTCCCCTTTGCCCTTAGAGCTGGGAAAACGCTCAGTTCCCGTAGCCAGCTCGTATCTTCCTTCCCGAGGCAGCGGCTAGCCATGAGGGTGTGGGGTGCCGCGGCAGCTGATGGTGGCTCCTGGGGCTGGCTGGGACACACTCCGGTGCAGACGCCTGAGCGCTGGCAGCTTGCCGGGCTCCCCTGCCTTCGGAGGCGCTGCAATAACAGCCGTCATGCTGGGAAATCGGAGCCGGGCAAGCGTGCGCTCCAGCCTGCCTCAGCCTTGTTTACTTAGCTTAAGGGAAAGGCTCCGCCGTCACGTATGGGGAGGGACTGACGGCGAGAGGGTGAGACATAAACAGAGCCAGTCCAGCAGGCAGGGCCATAAACAGGGACGGAGACGGGAAGATAGAGGGAGACATGGGGAGACCCACGCAGTGCTGGAGGAGTGGGAAAAAGACCCCTCTGGATGCAGAGCAGTGTTCGCTCGGGTGTGCAGCGCTCCTGGTGCTGAGCCACGCTGTGCCGTGGCATGATGTTGAGCCATGCTGCAGTCATGGGAACGGGGTCCCTCACGCAGCATCCCAGCTTGTGACATTCCAGCATCTTTGCTGTTTTCAGGAGCAGGGGGTTATGTGGTTGCAGGAAAGCCACGGGGAAACCCTGCCCCAAGCTAGCAGGCAGCAGCTGTTCCTCTTGTTTTAGGCTCGTGTCATGGGACATCCATGGTATGGGGTAGTTTGAGCAGAGTGATATTTCACAGCTTTTTTTGTTGCGAGAGGATTTTTGCTCTGCTTGTCTGGTGCAGAGCAGTGACCAGGCAGAGCAGGAAT